GCCGCCTGCAGAACGAATATTCTAGAGCTTTCCGCGCACAAGCGGGGGCGGACGCACCAAAAAATTAATTAATTAATTTAATTAAATAAGGGCTAAGTGGAAAGACACGGCGGAGGAGGGAAATTCAGAATGTGGATCCCAGCGGCTCCGGCTCCGCTATTCGCGGCCCCTCCCGACAGCGCAGCGCGGAGCGGCCGCCCGGCGCTTCCTTTCCGTCCTTCCCCGTCCGCGTTCCCACGGTCCCGCTGCCCGTTCCCGGCTGAGTGCACCGCGCTTCCCTACTCCACCTGCTCCGGAGTTCCCGATGCCGAACCCGAGGCTTAACTGGGCGCACTGGATGGCCAGGGGCACCCCAAGCCGGCGAATGACGGAGCTCAGGCTCGACCCCGCCGGGCTGCACCCTCCGCGGACTCGGAAACCGCAGCCAACGGTTCCCAGGCGGCCCCGAGAGCGCCGTCGCTCACGAGCAGAGAAGCGCTGAGCCCCGCCCACCGCGCTCCAGCCCCGCGCGCACCCCGGGAGCTGTCAAACCTGGCGCGCGGCAGCTCTAGGGAGCGGGAGGACCCCTCAGCTCTATGGTGTGGGGGCCTGGGAGGGACGCGCGTGCGCTTGGCCCCGGCCGCCTGAGGGAGCCTGCCTGCCGAGGCGACGCGACGCGACGCGAAGGGGGTGAGTTTTTTTTTAACCCGTGATAGCCCGCGCGTGGGATCCTTCAACTATGTCGTGAGTCCCTTGGTTAGCTTTTCTTTTTCATACCCTCCCAATAATGTGAGTCCCTTGGTTAGCTTTTCTTTTTCATACCCTCCCAATAATACCCTCCCAATAATCCCTCAAAAGTTTCTCCAGTTATGTCGTGATTCCCTTGGTTAGCTTTTCTTTTTCACATTCTCCCTATCTTAATTCCTCAGAAGTTTCTCCAGCTCTGTCGAGAGTCCTTTGGTTAGCTTTTCTTTTTCCACTCTCCCCATGACTCCTCAGAACTTTCTCCAGTTCTGTCGAGAGTCCCTTGGTTAGTTTTTCTTTTTCACACCCTCCCAATAATCCCTCAGAACTTTCACCAGTTCTGTCCCTCGGTTATCTTATCTTTTTCACTCTCCCCATAATCCCTCAGAATTTTCTCCAGTTATGTCGTGAGTCCCTTGGGTAGCTTATCTTTTTCACATTCTCCCTGTAATTCCTCAGAAGTTTCTCGACTCTGTCGAGAGTCCCTTGGTTAGTTTTTCTTTTTCACACCCTCCCAATAATCCCTCAGAACTTTCACCAGTTCTGTCGAGAGTCCCTTCGTTAGCTTTTCTTTTCCTCACCCTCCCAATCATCGCTCAGAAGTTTCTCCAGCCATGTCGTGAGTCTTTTGGTCAACTTTTCTTTTCAAACCCTCCACATAATCCCTCAGAAGTTTGTCACGAGGTCCTTGGTTGCCTTTTCTTTTTCAGACTCTTCCCATAATTCCTCAGAAGTTTCTCTAGCTGTGTCGTGAGTCCCTTGGTCAGCTTTTCATTATCACATCCTCCTCATAATTCCTCAGAGTTTCTCCTTTACTTTTCCACACCCTCCTGGTAATTTCTCAGATTCTGTGCCAGCTTCCACTCTTTCCTTCTGGTTTCAGCCACTCCCCCGCCATCCAGGTTGAGACCCATAGAGAATACTTTTTGCAGGACTGTAACCCAGACTTTCCAACCCCGTAAATTTTTAAAATTTATTTATTTATTTGCTTTTTGGGTCACATCTGGTGTTGCACAGGGTTTACGCCTGGCTCATGCACTCGGGAATTATTCCTGGCATTGCTTGGGGGGAATCTTACGGGATGCTGGGAATTGAACCCGAGTCGGCCACATGCAAGGCAAACACCATACCCGCTGTGCTCCAGTCCCCAACAACCCTGTAAGTTTGAGCTGGGAACCCAGGATTCCAGGTGATCCTGTGCTTCGGCTCCTGTAACCACACTTTGTTAAACATTGACATTATAAGAAGCAATGTGGTACATATGTTGCCTGCTTGTGCCCACATGGCAGAGCACGTGTCGTCCGCATCTCCCCTCTTGAGATGTGTACTTTCATGCTTTTATGCCTATTTCTGGGATGTGTGTAGGAGGTCTCACCGCCCTTGATGAAGCCCGGGTTTTCTCTTGAGCACGTTCCTCTCCATTCTCTCCCACTTCTCTTCCTCCTTCCCTTCAAAACCTCCAAATAAAAACTGAAATTTCCAAAAGAGAGAGTGAGTGAGAGAGAGAGAGAGATAGTACAGCAGTTTAGGCATTTGCTTTACAGTGGACTGACCCAAATTTGATCCCAGGCATCTCATATAGTCCCCTGAGCACCACCAGGAGTGATCCCTGAGCATGGTCAGGTATGGCCACAAACCTGAAAAAAAAATAGAAAATAAACAATGCTCAGAAATTTCTGCCTAAATCTCAAAGACACTAGATTTTCATCTACTTTTTAACCAAGAAAGGTCTCTTTTGCAGACTCTTGCTTGTTTGTCCAATCTTCATACTGAGCATCTTAAGGATTAGGACGAGAAGGACCTGAAATGCAGAAAACTGGGAATAGGGCATGAAGGTAGGGAAAAATTTTAATGTGCCCATTGAAATATTTGGAGGAGTTTCGGGGGGGGGGGCAGAGTGTGAAGAAGAGAATGCTGGTGCTGCCTCATGCACCAAGAGCAGTACTGGCACTTCTGCTTTGAGGGTGGCAGCTCCAAGCGATTGCCACCCACCCTGCAGCCAGTGTGTGAGCATCACTATTAAAGGATGCAACCTCTGGCAAGCATAACTGAAAGACATATGTAAGCACTGCAGCCAGGAGCATGACCTCAGCAAGCACATCTGTTTATAACTATCATAACCAGAATCTGCAAGGGTATCACTGTTAAAGAGTGTGGCCCCTGGTTAGCACTGTAACTGAATGTGAGCACCACAACCTAATGTGTGATGGCCAGGGAGGACCACAATTAAATCTGTTCCATCCCCAGTCTTTGCAAGAGCAAGGGAGAGAAGGAAGAACTTTCCCAGGTTTAGTAATTACCCAATTCCAAAGCTACATTTTTAAGTATTTGTTACACAACACCCTACTTCTAGTAACACAGTGTTTTATTCTCTCATAATTCTGGAGGTCAAGAGTCTATAATCAGGGGCTGGAGAGATAGCACAGCGGATAGGGCGTTTGCCTGGTCCCCTGAGCACCGCCAGGAGTAACTCCTAAGTGCAGAGCCAGGAGTAACCCCATGTGCATCGCCAGGTGTGACCCAAAAAGCAAATATATATATATATATATATATATATATATATATATATATATCAGGGTTCTGGGAGGGTCCTGATTCTTCTATAAGCTTTAGGGAAGAATTTGCTCCATGCCTTGTTCAACTTTCAGGCAATCCTTGTTTTTTTTTTTTTGCTTTGGATGAAAATCACTTCAATTTCTCCAACGGTTTCATGGTGTCCTCTCCAATGAGTTTTCTCTGTATTTGAATTTAGCTCTTCTTTGTAGTTGTCTCCCAAGCACTACTTAGTGTCTACCAATAACATCCCCAGGATTGTTGGTAGAACTATGGATATTCATGCCATTTTGGCAGTGGCAAAGAAGGCAATGAAAGGGACAGTACTAAAATTTTCTATCATCTTAGAGGACACATGTAATGAACACCATTGGGAGAAAATGAAGAACATTTAAGATACTCAGACAGCAATGAGGAAAACAGAGGCCAGCATAATAGTGCTGGGTTAAGGTGTTTTCTCTGCATGTGGCTGACCCAGGTTCTATCCCCAGTATCCCATATGTTCCTCAGAGCCTGCCAGGAGTTATCCCTGAGCACCGATCAGGAGTAAGCCCTGAGCACAGCCAGGTGTAGGACCCAAAACAGAGAGCGAGTGGGGGGAGGGAGAGAAAGAGGGAGGTAGGAGAGAGTGAGAGAAACTGAGAGGGGGAGAGAGACTGAGAGGGAGAGAGAAAGAGAGAAGGAGAGAGAGGGCGAGAGAGAGAGGAAGAAACACCGAAAACTAGAGAAAAATGATTCTCAACCAGCAGAAAGTTGGCTGAGTTATGTCCTGTTATTGGGTGAAAAATAGACTTGAAGTGATGAACTAGGTATTTATCTGATGAGAGCTGAAATCAAATAAGGAAAGTTTAGCTTGGCAATATACTTCTCCACACCTCCTCTCCCCCTCCCTCCTAATTCCAGCAACACTGAGTTATCACCCTACTTCAGCCTCCTGAGCTCCGGTTCCCTCTTAAACTTTACTTTGTTATTTTTGTTTTGTTTTGTTAATCTTTGAACCATTTGGGCTGTCCTCTGAGCAGTCCTTCCAACTGCTTCTCCTCTTCCCACACCCAAAACGTTGGATTCTCACAACCCCGTTTCTTTTCCATCAGATCTCCCCTGCTGATGTCATCGCTTTCTTCAATCATACTTTCACTTATTAGCAAATCTTACTAAAATGCTTTTCTTGGGGGGGGAAGGGAAGGAATGATGGTTTGGGCCTCAGGGTTGAGCTCAGGGTTTACACCTGGTTCTGTGCTCAGGATCACACCTGGAGGTTCTCAGGGAACCATTTGCAGTGCCAGGGATCAAACAGGGCTGGCCCATGTGCACAGCTAGCACTTTATCCCCAAACTCTCTCTCTCTCTGGCCTCCCAAATTCATGTTTCTAACTTCATGTCTTCTGTCTCACATCTCTTATACTTTTATTTCACATAACACAGTACCGTCAGATTCAGTACAGTCCTGACACTGTAAAGGCCTCTTGTAAATGGCCTACATAAATTATTAATGCATTCCTAAGTCTTCTGCCTGCTACTTCAAACTCCAAACCCAACCCGGCCTTTAGCCTGAGTTCAGTGCAGCCAAGACTTAGAACTGATTCCAAACCAAGCGCTCAGATGCCTGCCCCTGTTTCTAGCTCTTGCTGACCCCTGCATGGGCAACTCCAGTAAATCAACTCTTAGTGATTTTAATGATGGGCCAGGCTGGGGTTCCACATCTCACAGAAAAACTGTCCTAACCTTCTCCTGCTTTGCCCTGGCCCCTCCTGCCTATACACTTGCTGCCTGGTTTTTGCAGGACAGGGCCTTCACCCACACCATTTCCTTCTAGAACCATCATTGCAGACAGCCAACATGTTTGGGGCACTTCACAATAATCTGGTTCCCCATTCTGCCCCTAGATTTGAAAGCATGAGTTCTATTTTTTAAAAAATTTTTATTAGTGAAACACCATGAGGTACAGTTGTAGACTTACAAATTATTGTGTTTGGGTTTTGATTATACTATGGTCCAATACCCATCCCTCCACCAGTGCCCATTTTCCATCCCCATGGATCCCAGTATCCTTCCCACCCCCATCCCCTTATCCCACCCTGCCTCTGTGGCAGGGCATTCCCTTTTGTTCTCTCTCTCCTTTTGGGTGTTGTGGTCTGCAAAAGAGGCATTGAGTTGCAATCATGTCCAGACTATAGTCTACTTTCAGCATGCATCTCCCATCCTGGGAGGATCCTCCAAACACCCTTTATTTGGTGCTCCCTTCTCTATCTGAGCTGTCTTTTCCCCTAGCATGCCCCACTGGCCTCTAAGCCATGGAGTAATCCTCCTGGTACTTATCTCGGCTATTCTTGGGTATTAATCTCCTATTTTGTTACTTTATGTCCCCCAGATGAATGCAATCTTTTTATGTCTGTCCCTCTCTATCTGACTCATTTCACTTAGCATGATACTTTCCATGTAGTACCACTTGTATGTAAATTTCATGACTGCATCTTTTCTAACAGCTTCATAGTACTCCATTGTGTAGATGTACCAAAGTTTCTTTAACCAGTCATCTGTTCTCGGGCTCTCAGGTTTTTTCTAGATTCTGGCTATTGTAAAGAGTGCTGCAATGAACAAACAATTGCAGATGTCACCTCGACTATCCTTTTTTCCCTCTCTGGGATATATTCCCAGGAGTGGTATTGCTGGGTCAAATGGGAGCTCAATTTCTAATTTTTTGAGAATCGTCCATACTGTTTTCCAAAAGGGCTGAACCAGTCGACATTCCCATCAGCAGTGCAGAAGAGTCCCTTTCTCACCACATCCGCGCCAGCACCGGTTGCTTTTGTTCTTTTGGATATGGGCCAGTCTCTGAGGTGTGAGATGGTATCTCATTGTGGTTTTGATCTGCATCTCCCTGATGATTAATGATGTAGAGCATTTTCGCATGAGTTATATTTTAATCTCCTGGATGCTCAAACGCCCTGTCCCTTCCTCCCTCTTTGTCTCTCAGTCTATCTCCTTACCCCCTTGGAGGAGCTATGTCAACCGTTTGAACTGGGGGTTGTATGGTTCCTCATTGCGCTCTTCAGCATCCTCCAGCCCTCTCGAGCCGCCCCGCACTGCCACCGAGCCGCAGTCCTCCCGGCTTCCTAGAAGGATGTGCACTCGCGGCCTGGGGAACTCAGGCTGACTCAGGGGTCTGTCTCTTTTCGGGAGGAGCCGAGGGTGTATGTGGCCGCTGCCTTGGATCGCTAGGCCTGGCGCCCTGCCCACCTTCCACGCCCCCGCAGCCATCCCCATCGTGGGTCCTTCTAGGGTTGCATTTGCCCTCTACCCAGCCCACCCGAGCGTCTCCATGTGCTTTGGCTCTTGGGATGACGAGCCCCAGTCCCCGGAGCCGGAGACTCGCCGCTCGGAGCTTTCCACCCGCTTCTCCCGCATCAGCCACCGCAGGCGGCAGTCGTGAGCAGTGTCTGAGCACCGTCTCCGCCCCAGGGTAGCCCTGACACGTGCTTTCTGTTTGACGTTCCGGCAGTGCTTTTTAAATTCCGGCACCGCGGCACTCTGCCTCTGCCTGTTAGGCAGGGAGCTCCACGCGGTGTCTATAGAAGTGGGCACGGGATAGAGTGTTAAAGCGTGCAGAAGGGAAGGCCTTGCCCAGGAGACAGCTCAAAGTGCCGGCCACATGCTTTGCTTGCAAGAGACCTGGGTTTGACCCCCCAGTACCTCTTGGTTCCCAGATCAATTCTGCAGGTGTGTCCCCAAAAGGAAAAAGGGAAATCAAAAGGTTTTCTTGGTGAGAGCCCCTAGTTTTATGGGAGTGGGGGTGGGGTGGGGTAGGGGGAAGGCAGATGTTTAAAGGTACTTAAGCACAACCCTAAGGATATGATTAGAAGCCCTATCTGTGTTGTGAGAATAAAGTGAATATTAAAAGTCTTTGATTCGGTTTTAAAAGCTCAGTATTTTTTGTTACAAGTAAGCAAACAGTCCAGATTCATCTTAGTACAGCCATTCTGTGACAAAGAGAATCCACCTGGTGCTTAGACTAAGAATTAGTTGGGCTCAGGCCTTCAACTCCCAGATGACAAGGCTATGCCCCCAAGGCCCCAGCTCACCCAGCCTTTCCAAAAGTTGGGTCCCAGCTACCTTTAACCACTTTACACATGTGACCAGCATCTGTCTAAGGACTGATGATTGAAGATCACTGCTGTGTATAGCTGCAAATGCAATCATCTATACTTCGGGTCCAGAGAAGTGCCCTATACCCCTCACTGTTTTCTGTGGTTACACTATAAGAAGGCTCTCTCCCCTGAAGTAGCACCCCTCTCCAGAATTCTCTTCTGTGGGATGATGGAAAAATTGGGGTCCTGTGCTCCCTTTTACTGACTCAAATCTGAAGGGTAAATTCCTCACAATAAAGCCTATCCTATGATCTGTGTCTGGTTACATGGAATTTTCCCATACCTACAATATATCAAGTGCTACTGTGGGTCAAATATTTTTAAACTGAAGTAGCATTATTTTTGAGGCATGGTGTGGCTAAATAGGAGATGATCACTTTGCAAAGGCATTACCCCCACTTCCCAAGAGAAGTTCATGTCCCCCACGGCCACATGGGGAAGCACCTGGATTAGTCAGGAAATGGAGAGAGAGGAGGTAGGAAGGAGCAGGTGAAACAGGGTGAGGAGGTTTGGATTGACTACTTTGAGTATTTCCAGTGGACTGTTGTGTTGGGGTAACAGAACCAGGAGTAAGTTTTGAGTCCACTGGGTGTGCACCCCACTCCACAAATGAACGAAGAAGAAAGGCTTAATACACCAAACTCGAAGGTGTTCATGTTATTTCCAATCTCTATAATAATACTACAGCAAAAACATTATTAGCTCCATTTTGGGGAGAAGAAATATCTGAGAGGTTCAATTAGCAACTAATGTCACACAGCTAATAAGATATTCCCTTGTGAGTACAGAATTTTGAGTTCCCTGATTTCAATAAATGCTGTGCTCATCCTGTGAACTAAGAGTCACTTCCCTTCAATATGAGAAATGTTCCAGGGACATTTTTCAGTTATTAGGCATTTGGTGATGTTGACAGATGCCTCTTTGAGACTTTCCTTCCTTTACTACAGTGATATTCACTCTTATTTAGAATTTTCATTTACCTGTGTCTTTGGCTGTGCCTGGGGTGGGGCAATCAAAGCTGGCCTGCTGTCTGCAAGCTTCAGTGACAGCCTTGAGTTCACAATTCAGTTCTCTCCTGAGTCCTGACGCTCTCAAGATTCTTGGCCTTGTCTATACACCAGAACCACTGAAGTGTTGTTTTACAAATATAAAACCCTACCCAGGAGAGTCCAACTTAAATTGACACACCACTCAGGCATCTGTAATATGAGATGAGTGCTATCAAAGAGAGCCTCACCTTGCCTAAAAGAGTATGGTTTTGTTTTTGCCGGTCAGAGAAGAAAGTCAAGGACGTAGTGTAGAGGCCAGGAAAATGTACATTGTATATGCAGGATTCCAGTTCGGTCTCTGGTTCTGCTTGCCTCCCACTCTGCTTGCCTCCCATTCTGAGTCATAGCCAGAGGTGACAGCCCTTAGCCTGGCCTCCTAAAGCCCCTGCAGGTGACTCAGCGGTTTGCATCCTGTTCTGCCCCTCCTCTTTGCCTAACAGGATCTTAACCTTCCTCTATCTCATCTTCACCTGGCTCACTCCTATCCTGCTGGGATGTCTCTCCCAACTTCTTCCGCCCACCTTCTTCCTCCTTACTCCTTTCTCTGAGCTTCCCTGTCTTCTTCCCCCCATCTTGGACTATCACACTGTATTTACTTGCCACTTTCCCATACTTAGCCAGGAGTTCCAATTTGCTTTTTTTTTTTTTTTTGATCTTCCAAGCATAGTTTGGCAGTTTCAGGGGCTTCATGGTGAATCTCAGGGAACCAGGATGGAGGCTCAGCACAAGGTTCAAGGCCCAGCAGTGCCACTGTCACCCGGGCCATGCTGGCAGTTATTGCTGTACTAGGGCTGTACCCAGCAATGCTCCAAGGATCATGTAGTGCTAGGAATTGAACCCAGGTCAGGTGCATGCCAGAACCGCCATATGATCTCTAGGCCCTTAACTCCTGCAGTTTTGAAGACAGGTCATATTTCAGTTCTCAGTCCTGTTCCCCTAGCACAAACCAAATGCTCAAGTATTTGTTGAAATAACAGATGAAGGAATCCATTCCCCCCTTTTTAGTATTGATTATCTTGTGATTTGATGTCGAGAATAATTCTGAGAATATAGCTCAGTGATAAAGCACATGTCTTGTGATAAAGCACATGCATGTTTGAGATCCTGAGTTCACTCCCCAGTACCGCATGCCTCCCGCCCTCCAGGAGTTCCAACAGGAGTGTCCCCTCAATGAATAACTCTTTGTTGTACATACATCCTGGCCACTCTCTGTGACCTTTCCTAACATTTCCACCATTATTCACAATTACAGTATCAACTCAAACCTGGGCATTACTACATCCTGTAATAAAGAGAACACCCTTTTTAGGAGTTGGACAACTATTTTTGTTGTTTACCAGTTTGGGGTCTTGGCTAATTACAGTCAAGAACCTCAGTATTTTCATCAGTGAAATGGGGAAAATAAGGTTTGCCTCTTGACAAGTCCTCTGTAAGCTGCAGCCTATTCTAAGGTTTATTAAGTGTAAGTGACCTTCTTTGAAGAGACCCTATGGTTTATAAGAAAGCTAAAATCTGTGGTTGCAGAGACAAGTTTTGCTGCTTAGTATCTGGTGAGCTAATGATTCTCAGTAGCTTCATTTTGAAAATGAGTAAAGTTATGATTGTCCCTGTGGGATTGTTGGGAAAATATAATATTTATCTTAACTATCCAGTGGGTGCTTGGCATTTCAGAGGTGCTTCATAAAATCATGGTTATTATTCTGTGATACAATAATTGCAATATTTTTCCTGATTTCTATGATCTATAAGCACTATTTGTCACTAACATTGACCCTAACAATAGTAATAAATATTGGATTGATTTTGGCGCTACTGAAATTTTCTGTTGTTATAATACGTTTACCTTGCATGGAGCCGACCCAGGTTCTATTCCTCCTTCCCTCTTGGAGAGGCTGGCAAGCTACTGAGAGTATTCCACCCGCATGACATAGCCTGGCAAGCTCCCTGTGGCGTATCTGATATACCCAAAACAGTAATAAGTCTCACAATGTTACTGGTGCCTGCTTGAGCAAATTGATGAACAATGGGATGACAGTGCTACAAAAATATGACCAAGGATCAGGTATAGGCACTTGAGAGATTAGAGGGGAAGCCAAGTTTTATTTATGCATGTGGACCCAAAATGGGTCAAACTCGTAACACAGTTCACACAGAGCTTCTGTAGGTTAGATACAGGATACACTGATTCTGTGGAAAGAATCTTCTCATCTAACATATACAATAGCACTGGTTACTAATATATATATATATATATATATATATATATATATATATATATATAAAGCTTGGTACAATTAGTGATTAATGCATTCTGTTTTAGGTTCCCTAGAGACATTCACTAATTGATTCTGTGGTCCTATTCCATTCCTGCTCAAGCAACCTGATCTCTCAGCCTGATTCTTTTGTGCTGTTCTGAGCCTGCCTTTGTGATTTATGGCCTGTTCATCTTTGCCCAGCTCCTAGAATGGACCACTCAGAGGTCCTGCCCCTAGTTTCCTGCTTCTGCTCCTAAATTTTTCCACTACACTCATCTTGAAAAAAATATTCCAAATCATCTTTAAGACTACCATTTATACTGAGACTCTTACTGTTTTTCTTTGCAGTGCTGTACTCCCTGTTAGCTGACATTCAGAAGCCCATGTTTATATTCTAAGCACTTCCCCCCCTCCCCCACACACTATAACATCAGTGCTATCTACCTTAGGAGCTCCCTGAAAAAGTGGAATTCTCGGGAAGGAAAGTCTCAGACTTTCCCTTCCCTTCCCTTCTCTGCCTCAGCTGGACCATCTTTCAGACCATCTCTGTCCAGAATGTCAGCAAGGGCCACCGCCTTGACCTACCATACTGCAAAAGACCAAGGAGAATCAATGTGTGCAAAAGTTGAAGAGAAGAAAAGACCGGGACAGAGCCTTGGTCTTCAGAGCAACACCCAGAGCCAGGAGAATTTCCGTCAGCAATTCAGGCAGTTTGATTTCTCTGACACTGCTGGGCCCCGGGAGGCCCTCAGCCAGCTCTGGGAGCTGTGTCATGGGTGGCTGAGGCCAGAGGTGCACAGCAAGGAGCAGATCCTGGAGCTGCTGGTGCTGGAGCAGTTCTTGGCCATCCTGCCGGAGGAGCTGCAGGCCTGGCTGCTGGAGCAGCGACCAGAGGATGCTGAGGAAGCCGTGAGTCTGTTGGAGGAGCTGGAGCGGGAGCTGGATGAACCAAGTTCACAAGTAAGAAGTAGAGGGTTTCATTTGTGTTTTGCTTCCTCTAAATGGGGAGCCACTGTGAGTGGTACTGACCCAGCTGTCAGGACAATAATTTCCCTCCCTCTCTCCTTCCTTCCTTCCTTCCTTCCTTCCTTCCTTCCTGCCTGCCTGCCTGCCTGCCTGCCTGCCTTTCCTTCCTCTTTCTTTTTGGTCTTTTGGTTGTTTTTTTTTTTGTCCACTAGGATCCATTACTACCAGTTTTTGAGTTCTGTTGTTTTCTATTGAAATCATTTAAAAGCATATCTGGTTTTTCCTGCCTTACCCAGTTATTCTAGGGGCTTTCCTCTTACCTCTGCTCAGAATCATAGTGCTGATGCTTGGTTACTTCTAGGACACAGCTTTTGACCAAAGAATATTCTGCAAGGAGGAGACGCCCACAGAAGCACTGACTTCTTTGAGCAGTCAGTTGCCACTTCTGGAGAACCAGAGTGAGACACCGGGGCCCCAGGCTCTTCCTGAGAGAGGTGAGGAACCTCAGCCCTTAGGGTTAAGTTTTCTAATGAAATTTTCTACTACTGTTCACAATATTCAAAGACAGTGTTTTTAGTATATATTATGCCACAACTCAGTAAAGATGGAGATGACCACTTGTGTCGGTAACAGAAACCGCACTGTAGCTCAAACAGAGAAAGTATTCCTCGACTAGCAAAATTTCCTTTCTCCATTGGGGCCTGGCCCTTAAATGTTTGCCTTGGAATGACCTTGCCTAAGTTCCTGTCAATGCTCATTTAAGTTTGTCTTGGTTTAGTCTTAGAATGGATGCTCACCTCTGAAGAATTATTGTGGATCATTTCACATGTTTCACTTATGCCATAAGGTTTAATTTTTCTGGAGGGATACTGAGTATGTCTAAGCTTCAGTTTCATAACCTATAAAATGTGTATAAGACTAAAAGACTTTAGGAGGTTATTTGGAATTAACTTAGTAGTTGTTAAGATTTTTGTCACCACAGAATAATTCAAATTACATGTGCCATTATAACTCTTCAGTGAAAATATTAGATATGAGAGCTGATGCCTTCAAAGTCACTCCTGTCGCTTGTTTTCATACACCTTTATCAACCATTTTCATATTAAAATTGAATATTTTAAGACTCCCATTTCATTCCAGAATGAGTCAGGAAAACCACAAAATTTATTTTCTCATGCTCTGTATCTGCATTTTTTAAAACTAAGCATTTGATTAACTTAGAACCTGCCAGAATCTCAAGTTGCTTTAATTGACTCTAGTTCCTACCTTTGTCTGCCCAATTTAACCTCAAAAGCAGTTATCAAGGTACCTTTTACTCTACTAATTTTCTAGAAGCATCTCTGACTCAGGTTTCTTCTATGTCATTATCCTGGTCACTCCTTATCACTTCTCTTTCTTTCCCCAATTACCTACTAACTCATCTGAGGGCTGGATAGTAGAGGTTAAGGTGCTTGCTTTGTACATGGCCAGTATCCCATGTTCAATTCAGGAACCACATTTGGTCACCAAGGAACTGTCAGAAGTGACCCCGGAACACAGCTAGAAATAATCTCTGAGCACTATAGAATATGCCTCCCCCCCGCAAAAGCACTACTCACACTTGTAACTCTGACCCAGGATTGCTTCCTGGACTCTCAACAGTACACTTATTACCATTTCCTCTATATGATGTATTTCCGTTTGACCAGTCCTCTTTTCCAGTATGTACTGTCACTATAAGTCTGCTTATCCTTGGAAGGTGCTACCATGTCTATACCATGCTACTATAGTCCACATTCTAAATTATAGATGGGGAAGCTAGTTTTAAGAATTTATCCCCTAAACTCTTAAATTAGGCAAATACTTAATTGGCTTATTAATTTTATTTCCTTTGTTTCTGACCCAGAGAGTAAATGACACTCACATTTTTTATTCAGGTGGCAAGCTGGAAGCTGACAAAGTATTGCCAGCAGAGCAAGAAAATATTGAATGTATAGTATCAGTGGCTATGCTATCCCCTGAAAAACTTCCTGGGGAAACTCCTTCAGGTCAGAGAGGTGAAGAAGCTTTGGGAGGCCTGAACAACTTGGAGAAACTAAAAGAAAATACCACAAGTATCAAAATGAGCCAGCTTCCTTCTCAAGAAACACATTTTAGTCTGACAACCTTCAATAAGAAAATACCGACAGAAGAGAATGTCCTTGAAAGTGACAGAAATTTGAGTCTAAGCCCAAATGTAAGGAAGCAAAGAACTCATGCTAGGAAGAGGCTGTACACGTGCTTTGACTGTGGGAAAGCCTTTCCTCAGAACTACAGGCTTATTAGACATCAGAGAATTCATACTGGAGAGAGGCCGTATGCATGTGAAGAATGTGGCAAAGCCTTTACTATGAACTCAAACCTTGTTAGACATCAGAAAATTCACAGTGCTGGAAAAATCTTTAAATGTGAATGTGGAAAACTTTTCTGGAGTAGCTCAGAACTCAGTAGCCATCAGAGAATTCATTCTAAAGAGAATCCTTATGAATGTGATGAATGTGGGAAAATTTTAAGCAGGAACTCAGCCCTTAGTCAACATATGAAAATTCATACTGGAGTCAAACACTACAAATGTTTTCAGTGTGGTAAAGCCTTTGGCAGAAGCTCTGTACTTATTGAGCATCAAAGAATTCACACTGGAGAAAAACCTTATTCATGCAGGGAGTGCGGAAAGGCCTTCATTCAGAACTCAGCCCTCATCAAGCACAAGAGAATCCACACTGGAGAGAAGCCTTTTGAGTGTAGTGAATGTCGGAAAACATTTAGGCATAGGTCAGGCCTTATGCAGCATCAGAGAACTCACACCAGAGCTTAACTCTCTGTAAGACTTGTACAATTCCTTATATCTGACAAAGACTGTGAAATATAAATAATTCACTTATATAGCAAAAACTCCACATAAGAGAGGTTTACTGAGAGAAGAGTTCCTGTCTCTACCCACCCAATTCAGTATTGTGTGAGGAAATTCACACAAGATGTTTGTTGAACTGCTGATTGGACTCACACTAAGATTAGAAATTGGGTAGATATTCTGAAAGAACTCCTGATAAAGAAGACTTAGATGATGTTTTCAATGGCAAAGATACATATCCAGAAAGATCATTTGTACAGTTAGCATTTGTACAATGTACAAATTTGTACAATGTACATTGGAAGCATGTGCTGAATGAGAAGATATGAAAAGTTGAATTATATCCCAGATCAACAGTAGTATTGGGGGAACTCATGCTCCGCCTTTGACAGTTTTTTCCTCAGCCCTGGGCTGCCTGCCTGCTTAGGTCATTTGAGGTCTCCTTGTTGAGCTACTATATATGTCTACTATATATCATCCACCTGTGGGACACATAGACATCGTTCTTTCACAGTTAAGGACATGGGATTATATATAATTGCAATAACATATGATAAGTGCTTTGGTAGGATAAATTCAGGATTCTTCAGAATACAAGGGAGAATACCTAATTTGAGTTATGAGTCATTTGAGGCTTTCTGGATGTGATGAAATCTTATCTCAGACTTACTAGGCAGATGAAAACTAGGTCAAGGGCAAGAAGGAAGAGAAAAACATGCTAATCAGAGGGAAGAACATATACTATGGCATGAATGGAGGCTCTAGATTCTTAGGATTCTTCTCTGATAGAATGGGTTTGGTTCTTATAGACCCTGGTTACTACCTAGGACAAGTTGACTCCTCTCTTATTTATCAGTGGTTTTGGGACAGAGAGATAGTACAGAACTTAAGGTACTAGCTTTGCATGTAACCAACACTGGCTCAGTCCCAACACCAAATATGGTTCCAAAGCCATTCCAGGAGTGATCCTGGAGTAGAGCTAGGAGTAAGCCCTGAGCACTGCTGGGCATGACCACTCCTGCCTCCCCCACAAAATTTCTGAGATGGGTAGCCTTTCCAATTCAAGAGTTACTTATTCTAGATCTTAGAAATCTTAAATCTAGATAATAATCGAGAGAATTATTGATTAAAAGACTTGGTATGTTCTATGAAGAAAAGCATGGACATAGTACACCAATAAGATAGAGATGGTAGGGCAGTGGGAACTGAAGCATTTGTGTCTTAAGGTCCTGAAACCAAGGAAATAGGGGCATACAGAATCTCAGGAATTGAGGAGGGGATGTCTGCCTTTCTAAACTACTATGTCTCACTCTCTCCCTCACATTACCAGGTTATAAATGCACAGCAGTGAATGCTGATTTCCCTGAAATTCCTCAGCTTGGGGAAATGTCTTTAATTTCATTATTTAATCTCTTCAGTTAACCCCCATGGGTTAACTGCTGAGAGTTAATCTTATTAACCTTAGAAAATAAGAAAAAATGATTTCTCTTTATTATGTTCTGATGTCTTTAAGATAGTATCAATTTTTCATTTTTTTTAAATTTGAGGGTTTGGGCCATACCCAGCAATACTCAGGGATCACTCCTGGCGGTGCTTCTGTGGGGTGGCAGGGATCAAACCCGGGTTTGCCGTGTGAAAGACAAGTGCCCTACCAGCTGTGCTGTTACCCCTGCTGAGACAGTCACTTTTGACAAAAGACTTGGTGTATAAGAGGCAAGGTGGTATGTTAGGGCAGGTTTTGTATCCAAATCTTATGTGATTACTGAAGTCAAGAAGTCCAAAGAAGACTTCAAATGGTTACGGGTAACCATTTTCCCATCATTGACAATTAGATGATTCCATGAAATTAATATCATTTAAAATAGCTTTTTTCCTGCTTATGAAGTAATTATAAATATTTATACTACAAAAATAATTAAGTCACCCACAATTCCACCATCCATAGAAACATTGCTAATTATTTTGGAGTATTTTCTATTTGTTCTGCTGTGTCTTCCCAAACTTATTATTTTTAGTAAAAATCATTTGGTAAATTACTCTTAGTAGCCTGTTTTTTCCCCCCTCGCCAAACATACATGCTTTGAGTATGCACTTTGCCTCAAGATGTAATAAATTTGAATTCCTAAGTTTGCTTTAAGTCTTTCAGGGATGGGGGAGCACATAGTCATGGAGATGTGCCAGGAGAATGTGGGGCAGAGATGTGGAAATCTGGGAGGTAGTGCTCTTAGCACTTTATTTTCTGAGCCAAATGCTGGTCCCTGGGATTCTAGGTCACCAAACGGAGGGGCATCTGTGGCTGGATTGTGGTTGAAAAAGACCATGGGAATAAGAGCAAGAGATCTACATATCCAGTGTCCACCAGAAATAGGATCATTCATCCTCACTGTGGGGAAGAACCTGGAAGACTGCCAGTTTTCCCTTCCTATGATTATTAGTGCCAGGCCATAAGGTGATTATGAACGATAAGATTACTAAGGAGCAGTATTTGGTTCCAGACCACCTCAAGGAGGTAGGGAGAGTAGGTTGGTCTAAGTGGGTTCTACCTGAGAAGCTCATTCTTACAGAAATGTTTCTCTAAATTAGATTCTTTTGCATGAGAAATTACTCCAATCTCCATGTTCTGAGGAGTCACCCTATAGAGCAAGAGAATCAAAGCAGTTCACACACAAAAAATAGGAAAGCAATTTTATTTTTGGTTTTGGAGTCACACCCAATGATACTTAAGGGTTACTTATGGCTCTGCACTCAGGGATTACTCCTGGCAGTATGCAACCATGTGCACTTCTGGGGATGGAACCTCACTAGGCAACATATAGGGCAAGTGCCCTACCTACTGGACTTGCTCTCCAGCCTCCGGAGACAGCAATTTTAGATTTGCTTCAACTTTCTAATCTCAGTTGAACTTTGTTTTCTGCAGTTTAGGAAAATGAGATAGGAGCTAGCATAGCACTCTGGGATTTTACGTTTCCAATATTTTTAATGCATAAATATATATTACATGGAGTCACTTTATACATATTTTACTAAACAAGATGCAAATGCTGTCATTTCTAAACTAGCCAACATCACTTTAATAGTATTTAAGACTTTGTAAATATTAATGGTTACTCAGGCATATATTTCCAGGCATAATTTTGTCTCTTTTGTGTAAATGACAGAATTGAATCCAGGGCCTCATATAAGCAAAGCATGCATTCAACCACTGGGCTACATCCCTAGGATCCTGAAGGAATCTTTAATTCAAAAGGCATTGCTTAAGGCTTCTGGTGTTAATGGCCAGAGATTGTTACCTATTCATTACTCAGCAGATTCAGAGTCCCTATTCTCTGAATCTTTGTTACTTTGATGAGGAAGAAAAAGTGCCCTCACAATTCTTGCTTAAATAAAAAATTTTAATTCTAGCAAGACTAGAACATTTATTGCCTATTTGCATGTATCCTTTTCTGATTCACCATTTAAATATTTCCCCCTTCAATGTTCTGCCATTGGATCCTTTCCATTGGGAAACAAGTGGCTCTAGAGAAAGAATCTAGGCTGATTTCAATACTTTCTAGCTACAAAATCTTAAAAATCCCTGTGATCCAAAGCCTTTATTTTTCTCTTTTGCAAAATTAGGCATTCATGGGGGAAAAATATACAAAGTCCAAAGCAAATACCTACTGAATTTGTTACCAACAAATACACATTTAAAAAATCTTCCTATTGTAACATTAAATCTTTTTTCTATTACTCTTCCAAATGATCCTATGCCATTCTTTGTTCATTCTCTCCGAACACAGGCATTTAGCCCTCTGCCATTCTGACTGGCACCTAAATGCTCATCTATTCTTTTAATCCTCATGAGAATTCCTGCCTTGTGCACAGGATTCTAGATTACCAAAGATTTACATTTTTGGTGTGTTAATACTTCAACCTATTAGGTACTCGAGTATTTTTCGGTTGCTGTATAACTCAGGACGCCTTTCTGCCTTGGACTAGTAAGTGCCAAGTCTCATACTTTTTCTGTCAGTCCTTCAGAAGAGAGGGCTCTGGATTGACCATGATAGCTACTTCCTGTTGACATTTTTTTCCATTAACAAAACTTGTAAGACAAATATTGCTGATAGAAGATAAAACTGAACATGTGTGAGGTGCCTGTAGCCACTCACCTGGAAGGTACTTCTGAGAACCAGAGCTCCAGGGAGTATTCTAGAAACTGGGGTTATAGACATGGGAAAAAATGTTATGGCAGCTGTTACATTTCTGGCTTTTGACCCAGAAAGAAGATTCAGTTTTGGTAGTCTCTGAGGGAGACTTGACATTCATTGTTGACTCTTAACCCCCAGAAAGTGCTAGCCTTATCTGTGGTGGGCAAAGAAATGACCTACTAACCATTTCCTGGGATCAGGAATACCAGACAAAGCTCCTCACCATCCAATGGTTCAAGGACTCAAGGTTTTACCTATTGAGAAAAACATCTCCACTCCCTTATATTTTGCTACTGCTTAAGAGTCTGGCTGCACACATGCCTCCACTCCAAAGAAACTCCACACAATAATTTCCAAATAATATAGGCTTTTTTCCTCTGTATTTTTGTTTCTTCTGCTGGAGACATTGATCCTTGGTCAGCATGTTTCACTGGCAGGAGTAAGGCATTCTGCTTATTCTTCATATACTTCTGGGAAGTATATTCTTCAAAGAGTGAGTCAGGTGCTGCCTGATGTCCCATAACACTGCTCATACTATAGCACCATGCTCATCTGTCCTCCCCATTAAACTACAGAATGTGTCCTATTCCCATTGTACTCCAAGTGCCTGGTACAAAACACAGAAATAACAGCTGGATAAGTTAATTTGTATTGTTTCACTTCTGACCTGCCCACAGCTCAGGAAAGCACTGATGGATGGAACTATTTCCCCAATATGCCCCATCACCACTTGTTTGGCTGTGGTGCAGGGATCAAAACTGAGCTCACCCTGCACTGCAGCCCTGAGCCAGCTCCCCTGCCTCATTACTGTCGTTACTTGGACAGCAACATTTTTGTTTTCCTAAGACAAAATCATCTTCACAGTCTTCATCTTTGTCAAACCAGCCATAATGATGCAATCAGAGAGCCTGGATCATTGCCCCCTCTGGGAAAAAAAGAGGCTTCAGTATCACATTCCCATTTATCTGCATTCCTGAATACTAACGGTAAGTGAAAAGCTGGAAGCAATGGTTCTTCCAACTGCTATTCTGATGAAGTCTTTGAAGCTTTTGGAGGGATAATCGGCATTAGCATTGGGAAGTGCTGCATAAAGTTCTACTGACTCGAAAACCTAGTTTAAACCTTTATGGAGTCTTGCTCCAAAGTCAACCCTTTGACTAAATAGATAAACATGACTAAAGTATTTAGAATATTTACATTCACTAGTTACTTTACAGCATGAACTCTCTGGTGGCGCAGCAGCACTGATCTGTGCCTGAAAGCCTTCCCACATTCACTACATATGTAGGCTTCATCCCCAGAATGGATTCTCTGATGCTGAACAAGGGCTGAGCTCCTTTTGAAGGTCTTGCCACATTCATTACACTGATAAGGTTCCTCTCCACTATGAATTCTCTGGTGTCTGATGAGGTTTGAGCTCAAGCTGAAGGCTTTTCCACACTCGTTACATTCGTAGGGTTTTTCTCCACTATGTATTCTCTGATGGCTAATCAGCTCTGAGCTCTGCCTGAAAGCTTTTCCACATTCATTACACTCGTAAGGTCTCTCTCCTGTATGAATTCGCTGATGTCTAATAAGTTTTGAGCTCTGGCTGAAGGTTTTTCCGCACTCATTACATTCATAGGGTTTTTCACCAGTGTGAATTCTTTGATGTATAATGAGGTAAGAACTTTGACTGAATGCTTTGCCACATTCATTACACTTACAAGCTTTCTCACCAGTATGAATTTTCCGATGTCTAATGAGAGCTGAGCTCTGACTGAAGGCTTTCCCACATTCACTACACTCATATGCTTTCTCACCACTGTGAATTCTCTGATGAATAATAAGATATGATCTCAAACTAAAGGCCTTTCCACACTGGTTACACTTATAGGGCTTTTCTCCAGTATGGATTCTCTGGTGCTGCGTGAGAGAGGAGTGCTGTTTAAACCTGTGTCCACACACATCACACTTATAAGGTCTCTCATCAGTAGGAACTTTCTGATACATTAGAGCATTTGCACTTAGAATCAAGCTTCTCTGAGGGCCACTGTGCTGGACACTATCCCCTAGAGAGTTGTGTGTAAAGATGACCTGACTAAAACTCCCTCCTTGGGAAGGCTGTGTGAGTTTTCCCCCTGTAGTACTTCCTTGCTGCCAGTCTAAACTGCTTTCATGTTCACTAACTCCTCCAAATGAAGGCTCTTGGGGAATTCTTTGTGATTTTTCTCTTGGTAAGTCCTTTGCTGCTGATTCACTGGTCTCAGAATCTGAAATGATAACAGCAAAATGTCAGATTTTATATTTCTCTAGTCATTCTAGATACTCTTTATAAGAAAAGAAACTACCACCAATAAAAGATGTCACTGTCCACACATACTGTTTCTTCAACTGGTCATTACAGTCTCTCCTTTCTAACACTAAGGTCAGCATCTACATTTTGAAGCTCATCTTTTCTTGTCTCCTTTGAGCTTATAATTGACCAAATATTTTCTTTTTGATCACCAATCCTCCTTTTCCCCTAATTCCTGCTCATCAGACTTTGAATCAACTGTTTATCTTCATCTTTTAAAATCAAACTCTTTGCCTACACAGATCTTTCATAGTTACTCTCACTCTCCTTTCAGTCACAGTAGCATTTATTGAAAGGCTTGTCTATATTCATGCCCACCCAGCAACCTGTTTTCCCTCTCCACTACCCAACCACACCCTTACCACTTTTTGTCACCAACCTCACAGCAGCTTAATCCAGCAGATGTTAGTAGTTGTCCTCTCCACAGCATTGACACTGAAGACCCTATCCTTACTTTACAGACATTCTCTTCCAGTTCTGTTAGCCTGATTCTGTCACTCAAAAGCTTATGTCAATCACTCCATTATGAATTTATCCAGGTTCTGTTCTGGTTTCTCATGTATCTTTACTCAACAAATTCTCTACATCTTAGACTTTATTTATAAGCTATGTTATTAGCGAATGTTACCCCATATACCCAGTTTTCTCTACTGAGCTCAAAATTCTCATATCCGATAGCTGCTAATGTGGCATATTACTTGTGACTATTTCACAAGCACCAAAAATGTATGAAACTAAACACGTTTCCTCCCTGATTTCCCATTAATAGGAATAGCATCATCATTAACCAACTGTCCAAGATGGAAATCAGAATGTCATCCTTAAACCTCTTCCTTATGCTCTACCTTTAGCAATCAGCAGCTATTGCAATGTGATTTAAGTGCTTCAGAATACGAGCCAACTTTGTTCTTGTACGTCTTACCATAATGTATCTTGATTTACTTACTGGGATCACTTGAAGTATAGGTCCCTACGAGAGAGCTATTCTTGCCTTCCTCAATTCTTCTCACTCACAAAGTTCCAAAACCTAAAGCCAATTATGTCACTGCCTTGTCCAAAATCGTTTGACTATACCCACTATAGTGTACAAACTAATCAGGTAATCAGGAAGACAGTTTTAAAAAGTCGGTCTTATTAGTCTCTATTTCATCTCCCACCACCTCTCTCCTATGAATTATCTATTCAAGTAAAACTGAACTACTGACCTTCTTTCACTTATAATGGAGTTATGTTCAGGTACAACTTCAAAATATCTTAAGTGGAGGGGTCAGAGCTATAGTACAGAAGGCAGGACATTTGCCTTGCACGCAGCTGACCCAGGTTCAATACCCAGCATCACATCTGTCCCCTGAGCACCACCAGGAGTAATTCCTAAATGCAAAGCCAGGAGGAAGCCCTGAGCACCACCAGGTATGGCCCCATTTCAAAAAAAAAAAAAGAAGAAAATGTATTTTCTACAGCAAACCCATTGGTTAGCATACCTTTAAGGTACTCAGAACAACTGCCTATAGTAGGGAAAAATTCTGATGTAATGTGAAAAAACAACTATTATATTAAAAAACCTGGCATCACAGTATGCTGGACACTGTCAGTTAATTTTCCTCAGTGATAACATGATTGATTGGAAGCTGCCTGCCCAACACAAAATGTAGCAAAACACATACCACTAGAACCGATCAAAATTAAAAATGAGGGCAAGTGCTAGCTAAAAGAACTAGAAAACATATTTTGCATGCTGAAGACTCAGGTTCGATCCCCGGCATTGCACATTCCCCTTGCACCAATCCAGGAGTAGGCCCCAAGCACCTGTGTGTGGACCCAAACAAACAAAATCTGAAGGGTGATTTTGACTGAATATTCACTGCTTTCATACCATCAGCCAAGTTTAAATTTTAAGTAGACCACTTGTACCTATAATTCCCAAAATAGGTTGTACTCTCTCAGCTTGAGAACTTTGTGGCCTTTGTTTATATGATGGTATAGCATCAGAAATGTACATTTGGTCTTCATCCTAAATTCCTAGCACAAAGCTTTAAAAACCCTTGAATTTTCCTAAGTAGTGGGGGGTAAAGGAGTGGCTTCTGTTATTCATAAACCCCTTTAACCACACCAGATTATATGCTAATGAGTGACTCTGGGAGGATTAGGGTGGACTATTGGTGGGAACTAATTGCCAAGAGAACTAAATGTATCAAAGTTCTGGAACTTTCAATTTTATCTTCCAACCTCCAGGGAGACTGGAGATTGAGCTAATTATTGACAAGCAATGATTTAATCAGTTATAGCTAAATAATGAGCATCCACAAAAACCTTAAATGAAATGGTTCTGAAAGCTTTCCAAGTGATGAGAACACCCAGCGCCCCAGGGACAAAAGCTGAGCTCAAGACTCTTTGGAACTCACCCTCCAGATAGCTCTGTTCCAAAGAACTGATCGTCCATAGCCTGAAGTGTCTCTGAATTCTGTGAGCCCTGACAGAAAATTATGCAGCCTAAAGAAGTGGTTATGGAAATTCCAATTGGTAGTCAAAGGAACATAAGTGTGCGGAACCTGAGGACTGAAGTGTTAACTGGCAGTTTATCATGAGAGGTCATCCTGTGGGTCGTTACAACCTGCGGGAACTGCACTAATTCTGGGTTGGTCAGAATTGCTTAAATATGAGGGGAAACCTCCATATCCCATGTCAGGAGCTGCGAGTACAGGAACAGTTTCCCCTTTAGCTTTAGAAAACTTTCCTTCCACCTACTGACTTCTCTTTCTTTTACTCATAATTCAAACCTTCACTTTGATTGAGTCTTCAACCAAAAAGCATCTTGATTTGCTAAGTTTTCTTAAATGCCTAAAGATGTGCACCACAGTCCTCAGCATTTACTACTCTATATTGTAGTTGCCTTTTAAGTCATTCATTACCCCCTCTAGAATTCATCCAGGTTTAGGGAATTCAAAAGTCCCTAAAAGACAGAGAACCAGTGAACATCACAGGAACACCCTATTATGTTACCTAATGAAGGGAAAAGTGACTGGGAAAATGACCCAGGAAAACTGACAGTAGTTCATGAGGGCTGCTGAGTAAAAGCTGCTAAAGTGAGCACCTCCAATCTAGAATTAAAAAGGTGAGACTTAGTTGGGGCAGGTTTGTAAAAGGCAATTAATTCCGTGTTCACAAGACCAGATGCTTGACTGCTAATACTTCCCAGATGCGTCTCTTATTTCTTACCACTTTGGGGGGAAAGGCAAGGTTTCCAGGGCTTCAGCTGTGTCTTTAAAGGCTGGAGTTGGATATTTGTTAACTTTGGGGAAGTTCCAAGACATGTCAAATCCTTCCATGGCACTGCTGGGCCCTGTGGACTAGCTGGGACCTGAAATCAGTAAAACAGGGTTAGCTCAGGGAGAAAATCTCTAGGAAAGCTGCTTAGAAAGAGAGCAGAATGGTTGGTTGTCGGGAGGACAAAGTCTTGAATGTTGGTTGGATGCTAGCATTTACTTATTTATTTATATTTTTATTAGTGAAACACCATGAGGTACAGTTGTATACTTACAAATTTTTGTGCTTGGGTTTCAGTTGTAATACAGTGATCGAGTACCCATCCCTCCACCAGTGCCCATTCTCCACCACCACTGATCCCAGTATCCCTCCTACCCCCCATCCCCCCCGTCCCACCTGCCTCTGTGGCAGGGCATTCCCTCTTGTACTCTCTCTCTCCTTTGGGGTGCTGTGGTTTGAAAAAAGGGGAATTGAGTGGCAATCATGTTCGGTCTATAATCTACTTTCAGCATGGGATGCTAGCATTTAACGTCCAGTTCACAGGGCCAAGGGTTGCTAGGAGTGATCCCTAGATCATGCACATACACCTCAAAGATGTTAACAAAGAGCATCAGGAGTAAGAGGGAAAAGGGAGCCAATTAACAAGATAGGTATAGTTTACAGATAATTAAGGGTTAGGAGAAACAAATTTTTACCCACTACAATTATGCCACATGCTTTAATCTGTAAATACCTTTCTCTCAACATACCACTTTTTCCCATTCCCACCTGTTGCCCTGGATCATCGAATTCCCTCTCCAAATCCTCCAGCAGTGTGACAGCTTCCTCGCCACTTTGCGGACTATGCTGCTGAACCCAGATCTGCAGCTCCTCAGGTAGAATGCTCAGGAACTGCTCCAGCACCAGCAGCTCCAGGATTTGCTCCTTGCTGTGCACCTCAGGCATGAGCCACTGATAGCAAAGCTCTTGGAGTCGGCCCAAGGCCTCCCGGGGCCCTGGTGTCTCCTGGTAGCAAAACTTTCTGAACTGTTGGCGAAACAATTCTTGGCAGGATTGATTACTCCCATTCTTTCTAGATTTCTGACCCCAGGAAAGACTTTCTTCCACTTTCACTAGTATTAGTTCCTGGTGGTTCCGAGGTACCAAAGTTGAAATGGCTCTGGATTCCACAGCCATTGTATTGAAATAGCTTAGCAAAAGGCTCACTCACTACAACTGGGTCTTGTGCTTCAGAATTTGAGTTTTCTTTTTTTTCTTTCCTGAAGGTAATAAAAGCATGGTTAATATAAGTAGTGGAAACAAAGTAGAACTAGTAAGAAGTTCAATAATGATCACCTACCCAAGTAATATACTAAAATGCAGTATGTTTGAGTCTGTAACTAATGATACAGTGACAGACTAAAAATCACTCACCTTGATCAAGATCTCCCATTTCTTAGGATTCCTAAGAAATTACTCCTAGAGATATTCTTAAGAAATTACTTTGGGGAAAAAAATCATTTGGAATTTCTGAAATTCTCAAAAGAATGCACTAGCAATAAGTCACATACTGAGAAACTTCCTTTTTCAAATTCACATTTAATTCTGACTATCAAGGAGAAAAATCTATCATTTAACATGTCTATAAAACTTCCTTTCTTGGTAAGTATACATAGATCTCAGGCTTATAAGTGTAGATTTTTCACTAAGATTTAATGATGCCGACGAAAAGGAAATTTTTCTTGTTATGTTCTATAGCAAAACTGATTTTCACTTAAAGCAGTGAAACATCTTTTAAAAAAAAATCTTATTTACATGAGTTCCTGTAAAAATTACTGGATCTTTGCCGTTTCATTAAATTTGGTATTCCACCAATTTCTTCAACAAACACTAGGGTATTTATTCTCTAGACCTTTCTGAGTGGTGTTTACAAAGTTTTCTGACTGTGAATAAATATCTACCAAGTAATTAACCAAGATATATATGTTAAGTGCTGACCATGTGTTCAAAAACATGTTAGGTATGTCTCTGAACCTCCCTAGAGACACCAAAGCTCACCCTCCGCTTTCATAGGGTCTGGATATGCTAAAGAAAAATCAAAGTGAAACATGGCAACAAGTAATTATGTTGCAAAAAATCTGTAAAAAAGATCAAACGTCATCCATTGAGGGGCTAGACGGGGAAACAGCGTTTGGGTGGGTAAGTGCTGGAAAGCGCAGTAGTAAGATAAGTTCTAACCCTAAAAACTGCAGCTAACTTCAGCGACCGGGCTATTTATTCAGGCCACCAAGGCGTGTTTTATTAGCGGGCCTGGCTGCGCTAGCGGTTCTACTTCTCTATCGGGAATTCACTCGCGCCGTTAGCAAAGCAACGGGGTTCGGGGAGCAACTGCCCAAAGCGCGGGGAGGCAAGGCTGTGCAAGGCTGGCCACCCCGTCCACGCCGCCCGCACAAAACGGACATCCCCCGGGGACAGGCTCCAGCAACCCAGTTCCGCCGCCCGGGCCGCGCTCGCTCCCCGCCCTCCGTCCGCCCCGGGCCCCGCATCCCTCACCGCCAAGCCCCGGAGCGGTCAGGCAGCAGCCGCAGCCACAAAGACCGGAAGCGCGCGCCCACGGCTTTCCGCTCACGTCCCCGCCCGAGTCCATCCGCCCCGCCCCGCGCTCGCGGAGAGCCAATCAGCGCCGCTGCTCCCGAGCTCCCCCCCCCCCCCGCCCGTGCTCTCGGGCCATTGGCTCCGCGGAGAGTGAATGAACCGCAGGCGGCGGCGGCGGCGGCGGCGGCGGCGGCTGAGGCTGCGGGGCCGCCCCGGTGGGTGTTGGCTCTGCGCGCTCTGTCCTCTTCCTACCACCTTCGGCCAGCTCAGGGGCCGCACGTCACGCTGGGTGCCTTCAGGCTTTCTTTTTTTTTCTCACCCCGGGTAAGCATTCCGAGTTTCTTGTCATTCCAAATTCCAAGTGCTTTTTTTTTTTCAGCCTCTCCGACGGAATGAAAAATCAAGCGTTATTGACGTCGTGGTTCTCTATAGCTTTGAGCCTTGACCCTCCCCTAAAGCGGGAATAGTTTGCCCGTTTTTCTGCCGCCTACCCTGCATGTGATCAGAGAAGTCAGAGGTTTAGACTCTTGTTTCTAGTAAGAAGCTTAGCTGAGAAGCAAGTCTCGGTATTTTCATTTTTATTTTTTTTTTTTGGAAAAAATCAATTTTTTAAATAGAGTCATCAGGAGATGTACAGTTTGAAAACTTCACGATCGGGTTTCAGTAATACAATGATCCAACATCCCTCCACCAGTGCACATTTCCCACACACTTCCTATCCAGAGTGATATTTCCAACTATCTTTGTCATAACGGTCCGGTCTCTATCCCAATTGCCTTCTCCCCTCGCACCTGAGGTAGGCTTCCAGCTGTGGACTAATCCTCCTTGCCCTTGTTTCCATTTTTCTTTATCCTTTGCATGGTAAAAAAAAATGAGGACATTTATTTATTTACTTTTAGCTTGCATTTTATTTAAATTAGTTTAGGCTATTTCCCCTTTGACATATTAAATCAGTGGCTGTATCATCAGGATACATGGTTCGTTCTTTTTTTTTTAACTCTGTTATCCTGAAGTGTACAGGTTTGTTCTGTGGGATTCCCTCAAAGGTCCGCCTCAGTACAGACTACAGACTGAGGGGGTTGGGGGAGAGAAGAAGGCCATTATCTTCTGTCTCCATTCAGCACTGAAGAAAGCCTCTTCCCCATCAAATTCCTCCTCTATCTAGTTAGCTAAAATTGCCTCAGTTCTCTGTGCCCATCACCAGCCAGGAGTGTGAGGCCTCCAAGATACACTGAGGCCAGTTGAGATTGGTGCTCAAGGACTGAGGGGCCAGTCGGGCTGAAAGGACAGTCTGATGTTCCTTAACCCTATCCTATCTCTCCACCTCAGGGAGTACTCAGACTATCTTTATATAAACCTGGTGTTTATTTTAAGCAGTTTAGTAAGATGACAGACACAGAGATAACTGCAGTTGAAAAAGAGTTGATCACTGACAATTTCCTAGAAACTGGGAGGTGCTGCATGCCAGAGTGTCTCATGGGAAGAATAGGAGAGAAAGAAGACTGGGACTGAACTTTCATTATTATAGTGGTGGAACATACGACTGGGGGGATGGTGGGGCTGCAACATTCCTTACTGGGCAGAAAGCAAAACTCAATTGAGGGTTGCAATTGGAGGGTCTGCAGTGAGATTTTTAAATGCCTGTTGATGTAGAAAATCTTGGCCCCTGACTCTAAAATGTCAAGTCATCAGTTCCAGAACATCGAGAATAGATATTACACTATTTTATCCTGTCAATGTTGCCATGATGTCACTGGCTTAGTTTCCTGTTTTGTAGAGACATAATAGATGTATTAAGGGAATGAGACAATGCTTATTTGTGGACTATAAGACAGTAAACAAAGACCTTATTTACTAACTTTTTTTCTCCTTGCTTTAATGTCTAAGAGCCCCCGAGATTGCTCTGGAGGTACAATCTTAACATCAACCCTTGAACAGCTGAAGCTTTTTATTATTTTTTTATTTATTTAGTTATATATTCCCCCAGTCCTTTTTTCAGGTTAACCACAATAACAAATCACTGAAAAACATTCCATCCAAAAGCTTACTCCCCTTAGCCACTTTAGTAAGATTTACCCCAAGGATCGGCTTCTGCCTTAGGGGTGAATAAACAAAGATACATTCTAAGATTTGGGAGGGTTGGGGGGGAAGGAGGGCAATGCCTCACTAAATTCTTAGAGCTTGAGTAGTGAGAAGCTCAAAGAATTGCATTCTATTGGTTTTGTAGGTACAAAGAGCCTGGAGTGAATGCTATTAAAAATAACCCATAGAACTTAATGGGCTGAAAGCTGCTTGCCTCATGTCAATATGTCTATTATTCATTGAAAACTGAACATGATTTAAAACCTAAGTTAGGGGGTGTCAGGAAGTAGTACTGGTTCTGATGTTTAGTACCACATAGTCCTCCAATTCCTGGGTGCAGTTCTAGAAACATCCCTGTTTTTCCAGAGGTAGCCCTGGAACCCCTTGAGCTCTGAAATCCCCTGAGGCCATCAACACACCCTCTTTTTCGTATGTTGAACCGCTGCCTGGTTGGCTGAGAATCACTGATGGGACCCCGGGCCTCTAGAGCACCACTGTTATGTGTATTTTTGTGCTGGCACAATCCGTGAATGAACAAAGAGAGAGACAGCTCAGGATAGGGTAGTGAGTTTATTAGAAGCTCAGCCCTGAGGACCCCAAGTCAGAAGAGAAAGAGACTTGGAACTCTGTTTACTGAGAGGGTCTCTCCTTTCATCCTCTAAAGGTGGACTATAATCTATCTACACCCTTATAAGTGAAACAGGGGATACAGAGGTAATGAGTAAGAGAAAACAATCAATGCATCATTCCATATGGTATGGCCTTTAGGTGCTCAAAAGAAAAATAGTGTCAGTATATCCTGCCCATTTTTGGTACAGCCTTCAGGTACCATCTCCCGTGCACTCCCATAAATCCATTGGGCCCTGTTGCTCCCATCAATCTGGTGGGCTATTGTGTCCTTAATTTCGTTAAAAAGGAATGCTTTTTCCTCCCTTCTCTTGTTTAATTTAGACGGTCAGTTCCAGTTTCCCAGTCCCCATCACATTTTCTTAATTTTCATTACAGTTTCATAGTTCTCATTACATACAGCTTCTTATTTGTCATTAGAGTATCACCTGTCACTTGTCATCCTGTTGCTCATCGATTTGCTTGGACGGATGCCAGTAACGTCTCCATTCGTCCCTGTCACATGATACTGTAGTCTAATGGCGTATTGGGGGCTCTTTCAGGGTCAGGGAAATGAGACCCGTTATTGTTACTGTTTTTGGCATATCTCATAGGTCACGGGTAGCATGCCAGGATCTGCCCTAAGGACAGAATACTTTCAGTAGCTTGCCAGGCTCTCCAAGAGGGATGGAAGCTTTTGTGGCCTCCAGGAAATACTGTGATGCTCTCTTCCGGGAGTTTTGTCTTATAGTCTCTGGATATTGGCTGTTGATGAGATTACATGCCAAGCTACTGGAAAACTGGGGGTCTGGGTGAAGGAGGCCCAGCCCCGATCTGAGCAGGCTTGGAGATCTCAGCCATGGGTCCCACATACCTGGGTTCCTCTGCCGGTTCCTTCATGCATAAGGCTCATCTGAACCTATGGAGAGTGGCCTTGAGCATAGCTGTGACTGGGTTCTGGAGGTTTTTGGCTGCCGGGGTTC